AGAGACTGGATAGCCATGGAAAGGTCTGTTAGGATCTGATCATCCTTGTCAGTCCCCTGACTGAAACTCCCTTTGTGACATCATAATGCTAGTCGATGCATTGCATGTTATTCTTAACATCTGCTATCTGCTGCCTCTTCCCTGCCCCGTCCCCCATCATCTTTCTCATTTTTCTTCATCCTGCTTTAACTCCTTTCCTTTTATTTTCCTTGTATGGTCCTATTTACAGGATCTCGTACTCAGTGCTAAACTGACTGTATTTACTTTCTCAACTGAGCTTCCTCCGTGGTTCTTTTCACCTAAAGCTCTCAACTTTTGTGAGAAATAAGGACATACTTCCAAGAAAACTTGGGCATTTTACTGTATTGTGCTGGCTGGGCCCTCATTTCCACTATAAATTTCTCTTAAAATTGAATTTAACTTTTCACTTTTAAAAACCAAGGAATAAGATGGTGAGAGGTGGATTTGTCATAGTGAGGTATATAGACCACAGATATAAACAAAGAAGGACTCCAAAGTCATTTCAGAGTTTCATATTGTTACAAGTAAATGTTTTACTGCCTCTTATTCTAGAAGCCATACTTGCTCATACAGATGCCTCACAAAATAATATGAACTAGAGGGGGGAAAGGATCAATAATAACTAGAGATAATCACTTGGACATTTCACTGCATTTTCTGTATTTGCATGAGTATCTCTTTACCCAATTCTCTGCTTTGAATGTGTCCCCTAGCAGTTCATGGATATCTCCCCTAGCCCCGAATCCCTAGCAACCATCAATCTGCTTTGTGCCTCTATACATTTACGTGATTATTCAAAATACATAGAACCATATATGGCATAACCTTTTGTGTCATAATATTTTCAAGGTTCATTCATTTGTAGCATAGGTCACTTTCTTTCTATAGTTGAAGAATATTCCATTGTATGGAACTATACCACATTTTACCCATTCATCATTTGACAGATATGTAGGTTATTTTCATGTTTTTATATTATGAATACTGTTGCTATGAATATTCATGTGCGATTTTTTTTTTACATCAACCTGTTGTCATTCTTGGAATGTATACCTATATTTCCCTTAAGAATTTTACAGGGTTAGCACTTAAACAGATCTTTTCCATTTTGAGTTAATTTTTATATATGGTGTGAAGTAGGAATACAGCTCCATTATTTTGCAAGCAGATATCCACTTGTTCCAGTACCATTTGCTGATATCATTATTTCTCCTATTGTATTATCTCGGTACCTTGATTTAAAAAGCAACTGACCATAACTATATGAATGTTTCATATTAGCATCTTCTTTAATCATGATTGATCTTTCAATATGAATTATTAATTTTTCACTATCCTCAGTCAAGAGATGACAGAAACTCAGTCCTAGTGAATTGCTCCCTTTCACACTCTTTTAAATTTGGTTATTATTTTATGTTTATAAATGAGATTAATAGGTCATTTTTATTGCCATCTTTGTTAGTTTTTGTAATTTGGTTTATGTAAGTTTCATAAAATGAGTTCTATCTTTTCCTACAGTTTGGGAAAGTAAAGGTTTAAGGTGGTTCATGATTTAAAATATCTGAGATCCCTTGAATAGCCTATAAGTGTTTCCCTTACCCTGGTACTTATCTGTAGGTGTCCCATTTGTCTGCAAAGCAATATGTTTAAACCACAAATGAATACTTAACTGTGTTGCGTTACAGTTGTGTTTTAAGAACAAGTCACTATTTTATCCTCTCCTCTCCCATCCATACCAGCTAATCAGCCTTCAAAAGTTTGCTTACTAGGTTGACATCATACTTCACTTGTCTTAATCCATCACCTTTTCTGTGATCTCCAGCTGCTGCTACTTAACCTAAAGAAAACAGCCTGTGGATTGACAAGTTTGCTTTTCTGTACCTTGCATCTATCTTTATGTGAAAGTTTGAGTCTCAGTGTGGTGTGGTGGCTAGAACATAGTTTTGGGGTCAGGCTGTCTGTGAGCCAGCCAGATGACCTTGGCAGGTGTCAGCTCATGAACTAATAAACAGAAATAATAATAGGAGCCACAGCTTATTGGATTGTAGGGTGTACACATGACTTAATTTATAAATTGTTTAAAACAATGCTTACCCCCTCGGGTATCACAGTTTAGCATATATAAATATATTTGTCTTTTAAAGGTTGAAATTTCAGCCCTTAGTAGCTACTATGCCTCATGTGAGTTTTCTCAGTTGCAGATCTTTAAAATCAATGTTCAATATTTTAATCAACATTTAAATATTTGATCTCTCTGGCTCAGCAGCCTCCATGTCCCTTAGATTGTCCTTGGATTCAACCTCCTACTGAGTCCCTCAATGCCCCTCAGCTCTTCAAAGAAGAGTTTGACAAACATGGGCTCCTTTTTCTCCCTCTGTATCTTCCAGCTCATTTCAGAGCAAATTGAGAAAGCCTCTGGTCTCGGCTACACCTTCACAAGACTGATATCATCCTTGCAGCTCATGTGCATTCTGAGTTGACTCACGGCTTCTGCAGGAACCTGGACCGGAAGGTGAAATGCTGCCAAGATGAGGCCCATGGGATGCCCTGGGCCTCAGCTAATGTCTCCATCCTCATTGCCATGCTTCCAAGAGCCACACCTTTTGAACCAGCTCCCTTCCAGATGTTCCTGTCTCAAACTCAGCTTGTTCAAAAGTGGACTTAGTATCTTAGCCAGTGTTTTGCTCCTTCTCTTTCTTCTTTTCCCCTTAGTCTCTCCTTCCCATTCCGTTATTTGCAAATGGCACCAACATTCCCCAGCCACCCCCAAATACCTGGCAGTCACTCTGCACAGCTTACTCTTGCCACCTTCATCAAACAGTAGCTGTGTTTGGCTTAATTTCAATCCTCTAAGTTTCCCTCATGTTCCTTCTGCTACCAGTTCTTTATCTTTTTTTTTTCAGCTTTAATTGAGTTTATTGGTACATTTTAGGAATACAGTACAGTTGCATTCATTTGGGATCTTATACCCCCAAATACCTGGCAGTCACTCTGCACAGCTTACTCTTGCCACCTTCATCAAACAGTAGCTGTGTTTGGCTTAATTTCAATCCTCTAAGTTTCCCTCATGTTCCTTCTGCTACCAGTTCTTTATCTTTTTTTTTTCAGCTTTAATTGAGTTTATTGGTACATTTTAGGAATACAGTACAGTTGCATTCATTGTTGGGATCTTATACCTCTACATGACAGGTCTTGATTCTCATTTTTTCCCCTTATCCCTGCCCTCCCTTCACCCCCTCCTTCCCTCCCCATCTACAAACACTTTATTTTCATCTTTTCATTATTTCACATTTTTTTCTTTTCCCTTATTACCCTTCCCCTACCCATCCTACCTTCCCTACACCTTTAGCTCCTTTCTTCCCATTTCTAAATCTTTATCTTGTTATAGTAATGCCGGCTCTTATTTATCCTTTACTTTGTTCACCAGGGTGATCTTTTATAAATGCAAATCCAACTTGCTTAAAATCTCTCAAGAGCTCCTTGTCATGGCAGTTGAGTTTCAAGGTTCAATGTCCCCTACTTGACCTACTACTACCTTACCACCTTGCCTGGCCTGGACTTCTACAGGAGGCTCCTAATGAGCTCTCCAATTCCTTCTCCTTGTGCTACTATCCCAATCCATACCCCACTGGAAAGAGCCTTCTACAATGTCAATGTGCCTTGTCACTTTTTCAGCACACACTATGCTAAGGCTATCTGAACAGGAAGGCCCTCTGGAAAAGTGACATTTAAACTGAAACACCAGAAGAGCACAAGGTTGGCCAAAGGAAGACAGACAACTGTGTGCCACTTAATGAACAGCACAGAATGAGAGCAAAGGACACAGAGCTGGCAGCCGAAACAGTAGCAGAGACTGTGGGTCATGAAAAAGGTACCCAAGCTCACTGAGTAGAGTCCACATCAGCTTTCCACCCTTTGTTCACATTTTATGCCCCTGCAGTGCCTGACGCAGGGTGAGTGCTAAATCTTTACAGTGTTTGGAGAAATAAACACTTCCAACACTGCAGACAGGTTAAGTGGCTGGTGAGTCCCCCAGTGTCATGTGTCACTCCCTTTTCTAAGGTCCTATATTTGTCTAGCCCATTGGTTCTCACTCAAGAAAAGTTTTGTCCCCAGGGGACAGATGTTAGTGCCTGGAGACATTTTTGATTGTCACAACTGCAGAGGGAGGGAACACTACAGGTGGCATCAAGTGGGTAGATGACATTTCCCAACAAAGAACCATTCACCTATAACAACAGCAGTGCCATCCCGAAGAAACTCCCTTGCCCTGGTCTGCCTGTCCTCCAAGCCCCATGACCATTGCCTTTGGGGAAGTTTCTCGTCTTGATCCAACAGCCTGTGTGTGAGGCCCTCTTCTAGGCGCTCCCATCCTACTAGAAGTGGTCCACCCTGCCTTGCCTTTGTCTGTTCTTTCTGTGCGTGGAATAGTGAAGTTTGGTGTACAGGGTGAGTATCCCTAATCCTAAAATCCAAAATGTTCCAAAATCCTTTGTGCAGTCACAGTCAAAACACAGGTGCACTAAAAATAAAGTTATCTTCAGGGCAATGTGTAAAGGTGCATATGAAACAGACATGAATTTTGTGTTTAGACTTGGGTCCCCCATCCCTGAGATATCTCATTATTTATATGCAAATATTACAATGTCTCAAAAAATCCAAGAGTCCTCTGTTCATAAGCATTTGGGATAAAGGCTTCTCCACGCCACTGGCAGGCATACCAAACACAGTGAGATGAAGTGGTGTCTTCTCTTAAACAAACAAGTGGCTTCAGTGGGAATGGACAGGAGGGTAAAGACACATTTTGTGGCAACATTTAAAGGCCCATAGTTGGCACACGGGAACTCACATCAGGACTTCCCCAGCCCCATCTTCCCCTACGAAGCTCTCTTTCTCCCCTCATCTGTGCCTCTTTGTCACCTACAGGAACAGCCACTTCTATAGGTACCACCTGAGAGCATGGTTCAGAGAGTCACTGCTTTCAACTTTGAGTCATTCAGGTTTAATCGCAATAAGGTAAGACAAAACTCAGGCAATAACGAATTCCTAACAACGAACAAATAGGGCTAAAGCTTCATGGGCAGTGGACTCGCCTGGGATCCCCATCTTGTATGGCAAGAGAGCACCTGTGAAGTCCCTGCAAAATCAGAAGTCCCTGTGGCTTGCGAGTGGGTCTCAGATCTGCACCATCACAAACACGCCAAGCCCATTCTTTGCACTTAGGTTTTGAAAAGCTGGGCCCGAGCAGGGACTCCAGGGTGCCCTGGATCTGATCCTGCTGGCTGGAAGGGGGAGCTGGCCCAGGGGCTGGATGGAGGGTTAGGCATGCCTCCCTGAACTTCACTGCTGCTGCCTGCCTGACCCAGGGTCTTCACCACCGGGCCTGACATGCTGCTCGCCGCCCTCCCCTTGGCTCGGCTCCTCGCCCTCCAGCTCCTTCGCCTGGCCCCGCGCTCGCCGCATCTCCAGCATCTCCTCGAAAAAGATCTGGCAGCTGAAGCCCTGGTGGACGCCATGCTGCGCGTGATCCAGGAGCGCGGGCAGGGATGGGAAGACACGGCAGCAGGCGACACAGCGCAGCCCGTGTCTGGTGGTAACTAGGGAGTCCGGCGGCGCGCGTGGCTCCTGCTCCAGCTCAGCGTCCTCTCGCCCCGCATCCTCCTCAGGCTCCGCTTCGCGCTCTCCACCGCAGGTTTCCAGGTCTCCATGCAGGTCTGTGTTGGAGGCCACCTCAAAGGAGGAGCCACGCCAACGTCGCCGCCCGAGGAACTGGGCCTCGCGGACGCGCGGCCGGCTGCTGATGGGCGCAAAGCCCCCCTCGGTCTCCCAGGCCACGGCCACGCCGCGCACTGTCTGCACACGGGCGTACAGCGCTGGCATTGTCTGTGGGCCAGGGTCCGGACCCTGACCCTGACAGTAGAAAGGGCGCTGAGTGTAGGAGCGGTAAGAGGATGAGGATTCGGACGAGGGTGAGGAGGCGCTCCAGCCCAGTGAGACACGCCACCGTGTCTTTGGGGACAGGTCATCTTCATGGGCCAGGGCCGGTCCCTCGGTGGTCCCTGCGGAGTCCAAGAACATCAGCATCAGTGCCCTTCATGGATAGGGACCGGGTGTTACCTACCTCCAGGAGTCACAGGCATGGAGGGGCCCTCGAGACAGCCATCTGCCTTTGCCCATTTCCTGCTAACATTGGGGTGGCAGTGATGCATGTTGCCACCCCAAAACTTGATTGAGCCTCCAGAGGCCACCTACAGGGGAATAGAGAGACCGAGGTACAGCCCTCAGAGGAGAGGGTGCTCTGGACACACCATGTGGTCCCACTCCTGAGTAAACCAAGGTGACTTGGAATGTGGGCCACCCAGCATTTGCTAAACAGAGGAGCCAGAGTGAAAAGGCCACCCAGGACAGCTACCAGCTAGGTGACACTGTATAGAGAAAGCAAAGCTACAGGGACAGAACGGCTGCGATACAGGTACACTGGGCTCTGGGGGCTGGGGGCTGTGCCTGTATTGGGTCCATAAAAGTACATGTCACAGTTCTCCAGAGCAGGCACTCAGCTGCTAGAGGCCGTGTACATAAACACCTTCTCCATGCCCACTGTGTAAAGAACAAGACAGCCACTACACCTTCCCCACACCATCTGCGACAGGTCTGTCTTACCTAGGCAGATCTCGCCTTCTCCTGGTACACTTATCTCAGTCCTGTCACCATGTAAGTACATGCCATGTTTTAACTCTTAATATTGAAAACAGCTGTAAAGTTTCATAGTTTTTATTCCCATTCAACAGATAAGGAAACCGAGGCACAGAGAGTAGAAATGCATGATGCAGCCACTTGGCCCCACGAGCAGCATTACCCTGATGGGCTGGCCATGGAAACATCTTGAGGCTTCCAGATCTCAGTGTATAATAAGAGGATTGTTATGTGACAGCTGGAGTCACAGCACTGACACCTTTTTTTCAAATACGCATTAAAATAATACATGATGGTGAACATTTTACACTTCCATCCCCACAGCTCTTGAGACTACTTCCTGTACTCATTGTAGCCTGAGTTGTTGGCAAATTGGCAAAGACCAATCTCCTTGCCCTCTTCCAGCCTGTCTGTGTGGTCAGCACCTCCTTAATGATGCTTTGAGGGCCACCTGGCACCTCCCCTGGCATCCTTCCTTGGCACCCACATGGCTCACCCCAGCCCTCTCTTTTTTTCTACCTGGCCAGCACATTTCCAGACTGCCTTCCGTGGGCTCGGGGCTGGTCACACTGAGGGTGGTCCCATCAGTCGTTGAGTCTCCTCTCCGACGGTCTGCGAAGTAGCGCTGCATGATATGCAACTGTACCCAGGATACTGTGTGCCTGCTGTGGGTGAAAATTGGCTTGGGCAGTGCTGAGCCCTCCAACAGGCCCTGGCCTGAGTGGCCCCTGGGCTGCCCAGAGTTACCAGGTTCCTGGCTTTCCTCTGTGATGTCACTGGTGACACGGCCTGTTCTGGGCCTAGGAGCCAGACCAGGCTTCCCAGTATGAGGTCATTTCCTCTGGGGATATAGCTGTCTTATGTGTTATCAGGGACAGACACAAAACATAGACCAACACAGGGCAAACACATAAAAGACACAAACACATAATCACACACATAGACACATCAGCCATGATCACTCAGGTACAAAGGCACATGCACATACACAGGCACACAGTATGCAGTAGCACCAAAAAATACATAGAACATACACACGGACATACATAGACATTTACATGACGCACACATTTGTTCACACAGACTCACACCAGATGCACTGAACCACACATCCAGTCTTAGACATAGTCATCACCCAAGATCAAAATGGTCCTCCTTATGGGTCACTGTCAATGCACACCTGTAATCTCAGTACTCGAGGAGGTTGAGGCAGGAGTGTGGCAAGTTTGAGCCCAGCCTGGACAACTTAGTGACTTAATGAGACCCTGTATCAGAAAATACAAAAGTCTGAGGACATAGCTCAGTGTGAAAGCCATGGGTTCAATTTCCAGTGCCAAAAAAAAAAAAAAAAAAATGGTTCCTGCTTTCCACTGTGGACACAGTGGATGATAACACTTGTCACCTCCCAGAGTTCCTAGCCAGAACTGCTTGGGCTCCACAGCCCTCTGTCCCCCACCTCTCCTCCCACACAACTCCACAGCCCCAGCCTCTGCTCTGCACCCACACACCATGGCCCTCTCTGGCCAGGCTCAGAGCTGCCCACTCCCTCTTCCTCCAGGTGGCCTCCTGCCTTCCTATGTGGCTCGCTATCATCCCATCTGGGCTGAAATGTTACCTACCCTGATCAATCCACTTGCAGCTTGGGGTCTGAGGTCACTAGACCTCCTCAAACTTTCCTGGGCTTGTCTCTGTCTTTCGAACCTAAAAAAGGAAGAGGAGTCAGAAGACAAAGCAAAGTGAAAGTAAGTTTATTTGCAAAAGGAAGTGGTCAAAGTCACGCTGAGGAGCAGGGTCCTAGAGCTGGGCATCCACTGAATACAGAACAGTGGTCCTGTTCTATAGGGTTGGGACCCAGATACCCCTCCCTCTGAGGGTGACTGCACTTGATCGAGTGGTTGGCTGGTTGCTAGGGGTTTGAGTTCTGTGGGCTAATAAGGAAATGGGTAAGTAAGCATGGCAACCTGCACAAGGAGGAACCAGAGTACACAGTGTTACCTGCACAGCAGCAGAAGGGAAACCACAGATTTCCCTTTGCTCACTGTCTCAGAGCATCTCAGAGGCTGGCTTTCTCCTATTTTTAAAGGGTCCATGTCCCATTCCGGTTCCACTTTTCTGTCTCCTCCTGAATATGAAAGTCAGGATGTCCTTTATTTTTCCCATCATAACCCTAGTATCTGGAGCAAAGTGAGACCTGTTAGTGAGCACTTCAGAAAAAATTACCAAATCAGTAAATAAACAAGGTACGCATTGGGCCAACAAGGGTGTCCCCTGCCTTGTAGAGCTCTCTGCACCTTGAACCTCTGCAGCCCCCTGATGACAGCAAGCTCCCAGGAGGACTCTGAGAATCGCCTCTTCCTTCTCCACTTGAACAAACCATGCTTGGGCTACCAGCAGCCTGGCAAACACCCTCTGCTATCTGTCTCTATTCTGGGTGTCCTAACTTCCAGGAATATGCTTCCTCCAGCACAGTCCACAGCAGGCAAGGTTTACCTAACCAGACCCACAAGGTTTACCTAACCCTTTCCCACCTGACTTGATTTTTTTGAAATCCAAGTCCTAACCAGTTAAAAAAAAAAAAAACCAATGAACTAAAAAATAACTCTAATCTTCCAGCGGCAGCACCAACACCATGAACACGCATCCAGTATCTCCCTGCCCTTGCTCCTCCCTGAGGTCACCATGTGGAGGGGCACACAAAGTCATGGAAAGTCATACCTGCAACACCAAAGAGATATAGTCCCCTTGGAAGAGAAAATAGGAACTGAGCTCTTTCTTACCTGGCAAATATGGTAATCTTCTTTGTAACAAGGAGATGCCAGAACAAAAACAAGATCAACCAACCATGAAAATTATTCCAGAAACTGACAGGGAAGGTTGGAATTTTTAAGGGATAGCATGAATAACAAATTTCTAGGGGAAAGAAGACTCAGGCAATAAATACTGCTGAAAACTTTTATTTACTGTTATAAAAATGAATTTCGGCCTCATCGCCTGTGAAATGATCAGAATATTTTCACATGGCTCAGAGGTTATTGTCTGAGTTAAAATATGAAGAAAGAAAATACAAATAAACCCTTGTAATGACAGTGTAGTTTTTATCAACTGAAATGTTGCCAGTCTTCACAAAGATTGAACATCTTCACCATCTTTCTTAACTTTGTTGCTTAAAAAAAATTAAAAGAATCATATCACAGTGCTATATGTGCACCTATGTTTATAACGGCACAGTTTGTAATAGCTAAAACTTGGAAATATCACAGTGCTATATGTGCACCTATGTTTATAACGGCACAGTTTGTAATAGCTAAAACTTGGAAACAGCCCATTTGCTCATCAGGTGGAGACTGGATAAAGAAGATGTGGTTTTTCTATAAAGTGGAATACTACTCAGCCATAAAGAAGGAGAAATTAGATTCATTCATAGGAAAATGGATACATATTGAGGATATACTTCTAAGTGAAATAAATAAGTCACACATGTGTAAATACCGAATAGTTTCTCTGGTATGAATAAACTATAATAGTACATAAGATCCTAATGAGATAATTGGCAATGTGAAATAGGAAGAAAAGGGCTAAAGTTGTAGGGAAAGTGGGAAGGGTAGGGGAGAGCCAATAAGGGAAAAGAAAAAAATAGGAGAAAATGAAATAATGGAAATGAAGTGTTTATAAAGGGGGAAGGGAGAAGGGGGTGAAAGGAGGGCAGGGACAAGGGAAAGAAATGAGAACCAAAACCTGTCATGCAGAGGTACAAGATCCCAATGATGAATTTAACTGTACTGTATACCTAAAATGTACCAATAAACTCAATGAAGAAAAAAAATAAAAAATAAAAAAAATCACCTCATCATTGGAATTGGTGTTTCTCTATGAAACTAAACAAAAAAAGTAAAGGAAATGAATAGGTAATTCCCATGAGAAGCAGCACAGGTGGCTGATAAATGCAGGGCAAACACTACATCATTCTCACCTACCAGACAAGCAGAGGTTAAAAGATCATTACTGCCAGGCGTTGCTCAGGACACAGGACATACATTCTCCTATGCTCTCTTGCTGACCTTTCTCACAGGAAGTTTGGCAGTACCCATTATATCTGTAAGTGGGCAGACTCTTTCACTAAGAGGTTTGCTATCATATCTTTCCTGGGAAACAATTACATTTAGGTTAATAGAGAAATATTTATTGCAGCACTGTTCAGTAATAGAAAAAAGTTGGAACCAATCCAAAGAGCCATCAAACTAGAGAAATTGTGAAATGAATAACCAGTAATATAATAGATCTATGGAATGCCATTCCATAAAAAAGAGAGCTACACACACTCATAAATGAATTTGTGTTACATGAAATTGCAAGATACAAGAGAATATATGATGATCCTATTTATATAAAAATGAAGCAAGATATCTTTCTTCCAAAACCCCCATCAAACTCTATTGTCTAAGTATAGAAAGGTGATCTAAACCAATGATTGGTTTTAGGAGATCTAAAACCAATGGCCCCAAGTGGACCAATGTTGACCTCAGAAAAGGAGAAAGATTGGGGAAGTAGGATGGAAGAAGACTGAATTCCCCAAAGGTAGCCACACCATCCTTTGGGCCTTTTTTGCAGCATGACAGGTTCCTTGTCCTGGAGTGGGTGGTCTTTGGCCAATGAAATACACAGGAGCATGCTTTCTGACAGTGCGTGCTCCATCACCAAGAGAATATATGGCTTCCTCTTGATTCTCTCTTCATTTCCCTATGACCTGTCCACCATGTTGTGAGCCAGCACAGACCACATGAAGAGGTCACAGGGAGGTGATCCAGCCCCAGCCTCAGTGAAGGTCTGCATCAACCTTTAGATGTTGAGAAAGGTATCTTCAGATGATTCAGCCTCCCAGACTTTGAGTCTTTCATTTGGAGCCTGGAAATCACAGAGCAGATAGCAGCCATCCATCTTGGTTCTTCCTGATTCTCCAATATGGGAATAATAAACAAGTAAAAAGATGTTTTAAGGGGAACATGGCAGTGCATGCCTCTAGTTACAGCACTCAGTGTGGGCAAAGCAGGAGGATCAGGAGTCTGAGCCTAGCCTGGGCAATTTAGTGACTTGGTGAAATCCCATCTAAAAATTAAAAAAAATTAAAAGCAGATTGTGGGTGTAGCTAAGTATGAAAGGCCTGATTTCAATCCCCAGGATGGGAAAAAAGACAACAGTTAAACTCTCCTGGTAATATAATGGGCATTGATTTTCCTTGCAATCTTTAAATATAATCCCATGAAGTAAGAAGCTCATCCACACCATATGTGTCCTACACATCTCGCTAGCCCAGTTAGGGAAACCTCAGGGCCAGGTGACCACTATGGTTTCCCAGGACAACTTGAGAGACAGCCACATGGCTATGACCCATGTCTCTAAATGTTCGGCCTTGTGTTCATGGCCAGCAGCCTCAACCTTATTCCTCCATACCCCAGGCGAAACTACCTCACCCACTGGATCACAAAGTTTGCAGACAATCACATCTGCCTTTATCCTTATAGTTCTTCATATAAACACCATGGTTTCTCTTAAATGAGAAACCAAAAGTATAAATCAACTGAAGATCAAAATAGGGCCAAGGATTTGGCTCAGTGGTTCGGCTGCTTGCCTCACAAGTGCGAGGTCCCGAGTTCAATCCCTAGTAGCCCCCCGCCCCAAAAAAAGAAAGAGAAAATCAAAATAAAAGATAGGGCTGGGGATTTAGCTTAGTGGTGCTGCTGCCTGCCTGCTAGTGCAAGATCCTGAGTTCAGTC